GACACCCTTAGTTGGTAATGTCTGAGTAGGTAATGAATGGGGAAAGGTATTGATGGAAATTGCTCTTTAGAAAACCATCTGGTGGTGTAAAGTAAGATTAGGGTGGTGGTTGTTCTTGGTTGTCAGCTTGGCTGTATCTGGATAGAACTACAATCCAGAAATGGAGAGCACACCTGGGATCCGGATCTTGATGCTGGAAGATGCAGGCTTTTGATCCGGATCTTGAGGCGGGAAGACTCACCTCTATTCTGGGCCACACCCTTGGCTGGAAGCCAATGCAAGGCAGTGAAAGAAGGAAGCTCTTGTTCTTTGCCTGCTTGCCCTGGCCTTGCTAACACATCTATTTCTTCACTGGCATTGGAGTCTGCAGAGCATATACAGAGGATCAGGGGAGATACCCAGCCTTGTGAGACTGAGCAACTACTAGACTTTCCATTCACAACTAACCACTGTTGGGTTAGTTGGACTGCAGCCTGTAAGTCATCCCAATAAGTTCCATACATGCATACATATATTCATTCCACGAGTTCTGTGACTCTAGAGAACCCTGACTAATACAGAATAGAGGAATGAGAGTGCTTCATTGGCCTCGGACATTTCCTGCTTCAGAGGAAACAGCAGACAGATGCAACAGCAGCAGGAAACAGATGGCAGAAGATGGGAAGGGCCAGTACTTGGGTTGGGCTCTGCACAACATGGGTAGAAGCCTGGGAGCAAATGAATGGTATTAGATTCTGAGAGTTTGAGATTTCAAGCCTTTCTAATTGGAAATATGTTGACAGCTCATAATCAGGCTAGAACAACCAGACACAAGAACCAGGCCAGAGGAAAAGGTGTGCATCTCATTCAGCAAATTGAGCTTACTGTCATTCAAAGGGACATTTGAGTCTCAGGATCGTAGATGTGGGTTTAGAACAGTGGAAATATGAAACATCTCAAAGGACATGGGGGTGATAAGCCAGTGAGAAACTGGGGTGAGAAATGGGAAGGTAGGGACCATGGTTGAAAGTCACAGGGATCTAGATGGAGGTGCAGAGATGCAACAGTAGGTAAAGCATTTGCTGTGGAAGTATGAGGTCCCTAGTTTGGATTCTGGACAGTCACATAAATTCTGGGCAGGTGTGGTGTCTTGCTGGGAATCTCAGGCAGTGATGGGATCCTTGGAGCAAGCTAGCTAGCTAGTTAGGCTAGTCAAATCAGTGAGCTCTGGTTCAAGTGACTCTGCCTGGGTATATAAGGAGGAAATTGACCAGGAAGACATATATCTGCAGGTACATATGGCCTACAAACATTTGAACACATACACAAACATACACACAGGCACACACACACACTCAGAGAGAGAGAGAGAGGAGGGAGGTAATTGTGGGTAGAGGGAGAGCGAGCTAGAGAAACAGAAACTCATGGGAATGGATATCTTTGTGTAAAAGGCAGATTTAATTTGGGGGTGTTGCTTTTTGAGACCAAAGTCATGTAGTAGAACCTGGCTTTAGAATGTAGCTGAAGATAGCCTAGAACTTCTAGTCTGCCAGCATCTATATCCTGAGTGCTGGGATTACAGATGTACACCATCACACCTGGCTTTATGCAGTGAGTGATGGAGTCCCAGGGTTTCCTATGTGATAGGCAAGCACTCTTACCAGTTGAGCTACACACGTGGTCCCTAATATGTTTGCAATGACTGATTGTGACATTTGACCTTTGTTCTAGCTAGATTGTCCTTCGATCTTGCCCTAAAGTTTATTTACACCTTTTTTTCTTTCTTCCTGTGATTCTTTTGCTGTGGTTCTTATTCAAATCCCACTTAACCAAATCATCGTTCCTTCATATGCCTTATTTGCCTAAGGATTTGACCTGGGAAAGTCTGTCAGGCCATTTTCTCACCACTCATTTTCTATGAATTTGGCATCATATTCAGTGCCTTACTGTACATATTTGGGACAGTTTTGTCTCCCACAAGACTGGGATATTGTGAAGAATGAGTACTAAGACCAGGCTGGCTTCAAATTCATAGATATCCACCTGCCTCTGCCTCCCAAGTGCTTGGATTAAAGGCACATGGCACCATGCTTCTTAGAAATTGTTAATATTTCTATTAATGTTTTCTCCCATATCTTTACGTTATGTTAAATGAATCCAGTTTGTTCCTGTGTCATCCTAGGCGATATTTTTTTTTTTGAGTCAGGTTCTCTCTATTTAGCCCTGGTTGTTCTAGGACTCACTAATCATTGTGTAGACCAAACTGGCCTTGAACTCACAGAAAATCCACCTTCTTCTGCCTCCTGAGAGCCACCTTGTCTGCCAGTGTTTTATTTTTATAAGCTCCCTAAGCTTCATGTTGTGCATCAGTAAAAGTCCTTTGTGTGTTTCTTATAAGAAGCAGAGTCCATGCATGCACAGGTTGAGGGTGATGACTGGGATAGATAGACCAGAGTTATACTAGGAAATGATGGATTAGTGGGTTTTGCTTCCATTTCACCTGGCAATTTTGCACAGTTTCACTAACACCTAATTTTGTTTTGAGAAGAGGATGGTTGTGATAGCCATGTGGAATGCTGCAGACAAAAGCCCTAGAGATATAATGAGCTACTTGCTCCCAATCATTATTCCAGACCAGGAAGGGATATGGGAAAACCACTTGCTGACAATGAGGGAAAATCAGGATTAGACTGTGGCATGCAAGCTGCACCCCCCCCCCATGGTTTTGTCAGCCTGTGTCTTCATTTGGAATTTATTCATTCAAGCTCTACTGTGGTTTTAAAAAATCTTTTCAACTGTCTTAAATAGTTAGATCTCAGATTGGCCTTCACTGGGCCATTTACATGCTTGGGTTTTCAGAACCTTCTCTGAAAATGTCATAACTCCAATTGTTAATTTAAAGTCAGCACCCCCTTTCCTGCTGTGAAAATGAAGTCTGGAACTTATTTTTTTTTTTAAATCTGGGAAAGTGGAAATACTTGACCCAGTTTTTGATTTCCCTATCATTTAAGATTCAGCTATCGAAGTCAATTTATTCTTTGGTGTGGAAGTTTTCTGGGAGAGTGGAGTTACTAGAAAGAAGGAAGTTTCTGAAATATTCTAGAAGTTTCAAGCAGAAGTTTGGCAAAATCCCAGCTGTTAACCACTGCAGTGTCTGGAAGAAATTAGTGTAAATTGCTGATATGGAAGCTAAGAGTAATGATACATAATGGCAGCCATGGTTAAAACAGATTCATTTTATTTTTAATGATGTGTGTGGGCATGCGAATGCAGGCACTGGCAGAAGCCAGAGGCATCGACTCTTCTTGGAACTGCAGTTATAGGCAGTTGTGAGCTGTCTAATTTGGGTTCTGGGAATTGCATTCAGGTCCTCTGCAAGAGCGATATGAGCTCTTAACCACTGAGCTATTTCTCCAGCTCCCTATGACCCCCCCCCCCCCCCAACAGGGTTTCTCTATGTAGCCCTGGCTGTCCCGGGACTCACTCTGTAGACCAGGCTCTCAGTTCGACTTTTGGGATGGGATACTTTTAGGGGAAAGACCCCAACTCCAGGTACCCCTACAGGCTAGGGTATCTGCAGCTGGGGGCTTTCCCCCCTAAAATCATAGTAACAGGTTTGCTCCTAACAGAAGGCTTTGGAAGCCAGGACTTTTGAAAAATCTCCAACTGCCCTGCTTACGTACCAGTTACATTGTTAATATTCTGCTTCCTCTAGTCATTAGCCATGTTCGAAGTCACACTTCTGTTCTAAGTCTGCCTAGAAGCATGATGCTTCTCATACTTTTTCTGAAGCTCATGATTGGTCGCATTTATCATTTTTATAGAGAAGAATTCTGTATAACCGATGTTTGACGAAAGGTAGGAGTGCACAGGACTCTCGGACCCTATGCTGTCTACTTGGTAGCTCCTGAGATAAAGTGTGTATCCCCAATAGATACTGGTTTCTGAACAGGTGTCTGGTATAGAAAGTTCCATTCCTGTGGAGAATGAGCTGCCTATGGGCTTTTCCGTCTGCATCTCGTCCACAGAGTTAACCTCACACAGTGCTATGTAACATGATCCTGTCCAGTAACTTCTAGCCCTGTGGAGTACTGTGGATCTGGGCTAGAAGAGGATGGGGTTGGTATAGAATAGCTGGTTTTCTAATCCACAGCTGGGAAGAGGAAGCCAAGGAGAGATTTGTGTGGCATTTAGCTGGCAGTCATTTCTTAATTCAGAAATGTCTGGGATTCTAGGTGTTTCTGTTCATTGTCTGTTTTTCATGTTACAAATTAAATGATACACCTGCCATTATCGTTAGTTTAATAGGAAGTTGTGAGAAGTCACCCCAGAAATTTAGTCAGATGATGACTGTTCAATCCAGAAGAGATAAAGGTGGTGACACACACCTTTAATCCCAGCATTGGGGAGGCAGGGGCAGGTGGATCTCTGTTGAGTTCAAGGTCAGCCCAGTCTACAGAGTGAGTTCCAGGACAACCAGGGCTCCACAGAGAAACCCTATCTCAAAAATCAAAAAACAAACAAAAATCCAGAAGAAATGTTCTTTTAAGCTTCTTAGGATGAAGTGAATGAAACCTTTTGTTTTTATTGAACCATCTGTTTTCAGCATATTATTTTTCTTTAGAGACAGGTCTGACTATAGTTCTGGCTGGTCTGGAACTTGCTATGTAGACCAGGCTGTCAGTCTCTTAGAGATCCACCTGCCTCTGCTTCCTGAGTGCTGGCACCATACGTGGCTTCATCATATTCATAAAATTGCTCATCCTCTCCCTTCTTGGACTTCAGATTATATTTTCATCTTGTTAAAATAAAGTAACTAATTTTTCAGGTAGGGAAATAGAATCTTGCTGAAGTCTTACAGTTGGCGTATAATAAAGCTGAGATTTAGATCACATACCACACTCTTTTATTATTATGTAGCTTGAGAATTTGGAGAACCAAGCATTGAAAGCAGGTAATTGTGTAGGATTTCAGCTCCATGTTATAAAAGCTGTCACATTGTATTTTAATTATATCTGCAGGTGAAGAGCTCTTAAACTTCATGTGGAGATGGCAGCTCCCGAGTTTACCGTCAGTGCCCTGGTGTTTGCGGTGCTCGTTTGTTCTGTGGCTGGTTACCCCAATGGAAAAGTAGCAATGTCCTGTGCTGGGATGACCCCCCAACATGGCCACAGCCCACAGTCCGAGCCTGTTCACCAAATCACAGTGAGTCAGATGAGGTTCAAACCTGGAGACCAGATCCAAGGTACTTGTGCTGGGTATATGGATTTGCATTTTGAGTTTGACTCTTTTTCTACTTGTTGGGTTTTTACTGTGACTGGAATGAAACAATTTCATTTTAATCCATTCACTTGCATTATCTACTTTCATTTTTTATTTACTTCCGATGTCTATATTATGTAGGTGGCATCTATTCCTTATTAAGAACAAGGTCCAAAATAAGTTTTTTTAAAATTTTTTTTAGAATACTAAGGAATATATTTGTTTTATTATATTAGCATTGCATTCATTGTCTAATGTTATTTTGAACACTATTAACTCAATTGAACAGGGAAAATTGTTTTACCCTCACCCCTATTTTAAAAAGCAATCTCTTATGTGTTCCTGATTCTTCTGGCAAAATGTAGGCTGGGTGTTATGTTTCTCTATAGACAGGTGTGGTGGTATGTGCCTTAACTCCAGCACTCTGGAGGCTGAGGAAGGATTGGGGATTTGAGGCAGCTTGGGCTATATAGCAAGACTCTGTCGCAGAAAAAACAAAAAGTAGCTGGGCAGTGGTGGCATACACCTTTAATCTCAGCACTCAGGAGGCTCAGGCAGAGGCAGAGGCAGTGGTAGGCCGATCTCTGTGAGTTCGAGACCAGCCTGGCTTACAAGAACTAGTTCCAGGACAGCCTCCAAAGCCACAGAAAAATAATGTCTTGAAAAACCAAAAAAACCCACTACCACCAACAAAAAAACCAAAAAGTATGTCTGTCATAGCATTTGAAATTGCTGTATTTTGCAATTATAGAAATACATAATGTTAGTAGGATTTTTTGTTTGCTAGTTTTTTTGAGATAGGGTTTTTCTGTGTAACCACCCTGGCTGTCCTGTAACTTGCTCTGTAGACCAGGTTGGCCTCAAATTCACAGATCCACCTGCCTCTGCCTCCTGAGTGCTGGAATTAAAGGTGAGCACCACCACTGCCTGGCTTGTTAGTAGGAGTTCTTAACAAAAAGGATACATGAAGAAATAAACATGGAACACACTGTGTGCTTTAGACGTCTCTTAGAATTTTACTCTTCACAATAGAGTACTAAAAGGTAGTCCGATTTGTAATAAAAAGCATGTTTTTTTATCAAGAATTTTCTAAATTAATTTTTCCTATAGACTATTACCTAGTCATCACCCATGCTTTTATATCCTCTTATGGAATGGTTATTAATATCTCATGGTGCTGGGCCTACAGGCACAGGCCTATAATCCCAGATACTCAGTAGGCTGAAACAAGATGATCTTAAGTTCAAGGCCAGCCTGTGATACAGAATGAGTTAAAGGCTAGCTTGTGTAACTTACTGAAACTCTGTTTCAAAATAAAAACTACAAGAGGGTTGAAGATGTAGTTCCATGGTGGAGGGGTTGCCTAACATGTGTGAGACCTTAGGTTCAATACCTAGTGCTGTAGAATAAACAACCAACCCACCCAAAACAACAACAAACAACAACAACAACAAACCAAGCCTCCCAAAACATGGCATGTGTGCTCTAGGCAACATAATTGAGACATTTTTCTGCAGGGTGAGTTCTGTCCTATGTGTTTTTGCCGAGATACACTCTTTTCCGACTAAATGAGCTCCTTATAAATGCTTTCCTGGAATATTACTAAATCTTTTACCCTGACCTCTCTTGTTATCTGTTGCTCAGTCACTTTGTCAGGGCCACAGTTTAGAGGCTTTCTCTTAGAAGCTCGTGATGCCGAGGATCTGAGTGGCCCTCCTGTTGGTTCCTTCACACTGATTGACAGGGAAGTGTCGCAGCTTCTGACTTGTGAAGATGTACAGGTTTGTATGAAGTTTGAAGTTGATTTCTGTTGGTTCCTTTGGGCTGTTTTTAACTCGAGGGTGATGACTAGCTCAGCAATGGCATCACTATGTGTAGCAGGAATTTGAACAGATTTACAGTCATCAGACCTGACCTCTGGTTTACTTAGGAAGGGAAGGGTAATAGCTTGAGTTTGTACTTGGTGGTGTTTATGTTACATTGACAAATATTGACTTAAACTGTAAGATAATTACATGCCTTTAATCCCAGCACTTGGGAGACAGGGGCAGGCTGATCTATGAGTTTGAGGCCAGCCTGGTCTACAGAGCAAGTTCCAGGACAGTCAGGGCTACACAGGGAAACCCTGTTTCAAACAAACAAACGAACAAACAAACAAACATTTAAAAACAATGTGTGTGTGTGTGTGTGTGTGTAGGAGGAGGAACAGCAGGGGGTATGCCATCATACATGTATGAAAGTCAGAAGACAACTTATAGGACTCAGTTCTCCTCTTCCATCTTTACATGTGCTCTGCTAATCAAACTCAAGTGTCAGACTTGTGTCAGTGGACACCAAGTGCCTTTAGCTGCGGCGCCATCTTACTGTCCCCTGGTGTACTGATTTCTAAATGATTTCAGTATTGAAGAGACAGTTTTAGAATGGGACAGGGGTGTAAGGTTTGACATTCATTCATTCCTTCATTATTTATTCATCCAATAAACACTATAGCAGGAATGTTGCTGAGTGACAGAGAAATGGCAACAAAGAAAACTTGCTCCCTTTTCTTGAAAAACTCAAACTCTTATGCAGAGTAGAGAACCCATGGATACAAGGGAGCTGACACAAGGTCATGGTACATGCACTTAGGACAGACACATATGTAGAGTACTATGAAAACTTAGGTTGGAGTGCAGACAGAGTCGGTTGGGAATTATAGCAGAGGAAGTCACAGATCAGGGCAGGTGACTTCTAAGTGAGGCTTTGAAGGATGTGTAGGAGTTTGCCAGGTGAGAGAAAGTGAGAACAGGACTGTTCAAAAGTAGACATTGCTAAAATAGGATACATGTTTGGAGGTATGAAATTACTAGTTTTTGAGGAATCTTCTGTATTTTATTCATGTCTACTAATGGAAGGAATATAAGTTAAAGTGTAAAATAACAACAAGAACAATCTTCAAATAACATTAGCACACCCAATATCCATGACTTCCTTCAGTATTTAAGTTTCTGATGACTAGAATTTATTTAAAAAACAAAATAAAACAATGATATAAAAGCAGCAAGAAGGCCTGAATCCAAGTTTTTCCTCTAATAGTACCAAAGTTACACATTACTATACAAATGTATACAAATCTTTAATACAAATACAACAGGGCGAGGCTTCAGAGGAATCAAATAGGGACAAGCAGGTTCTCATTAGGAGTCACTGCTGTCAGCAGCAGTGACAACGGAAGACAGGCTGCTTCCTGCACTGTGTGTCTTCTTTTTTTTTTTTAACGAGACAGGGTTTCTCTGTATTGTTTTGGAGGCTGTCGATCTGCCTGCCTCTGCCTCCCGAGTGCTGGGATTAAAGGCATGCACCACCACTGCCCAGCCTGTGTGTGTCTTCTTAGCATCTCCTTCATACCCTGCTTCTCAAAGGAAACTTCTGCAGGTGCATATGAGGTTCTGACCCTTCAGCTGCAATTTACATTTCTGCTCTTCTTGATTTCAGTTCCTACATATTCCTGTCCCTTTCTCCATTAAACCTCAGAACTACTCTGAGCTGACTGATGACTTCATTGATCACAGAACTGATAAACATGACTGATATTATATAGTCAACCAATGGATATGAATTTACCTAGGACCTGGCCTTGCTCTATGTAGAAAAGTCTTCACCCAAATGCTCCGATCGTATAGCGATCATTTATTTTGCAAATGATTGCACTCTGACCATGCTTAGCTCTTCAGGAATGGGATGGTTGTTCTTTTCCATTTTATTTCAGGGTTTAGCTGTGAGTCATACGTCTTCATCCAAGAAGACAGAAGTTAAAGTCTACTGGAATGCTCCAAGCAGTGCCCCAAACCACATACAGTTTCTGTGAGTACGAGAGCACACATCTCTGTGACCACTGCCATTGAGATTGAAACCATGATGACGGGTACTGCTTTGCCATTGGCTATTCACCTGTGTAGAAGAGCTTTAGCAGTTACAATTTACTGACAGAAGAGTGGTCTTGCTTCTTTCCTTTGTTGTTATTTGAGACAGCATCTTGATATGCAGCATTGGATGGCTAGGAACTTCCTACGTAGATGAGGCTGGTCTTGGCCTTGAACTTGTAGCAATCCTCTTGCTTCTGACTCCCAAATGGACCTGACTCCCCCCCCAACCCTTTCCTTTTCTTCAACAACAAACTTCTAGCACCTTGTACTGTAGTTTTTTTTTTTTTTTAAGCTCCTCCTGCTTTCTTTATCCTCCCACGTGCTCCGATTACAGGCATGCACCACCAGGTCTGGTAGGACTTGGCACTTAAGAGCCATTTACTAGACATTGTTGAGTGAGTAAAGTATCACACTGCTTTAGGAATCATAAGAGCCATCAATTAGTACTTGAGTATGTGGTGTGCAGAGCAATACTGCCTGTTTTAGGATGAGAGCATAAATAAGACAGGACTGAAAGTAGGGTGACTTCTTTGGCAGCACTACAACTTATAGATAGCTTATCAGGAAATAACTTGTTGCATTCCTCTTGGAGTTGTGAAACCAGAATTACGATGTCATCCTTTTCCTGTTCATCTGCACAAGGCAGAATGGAATGTTGTAAAACCATGTAATGATTCCTGAGTGGTGTCCCAGACATATGTTTACCTTATAGGAGAGACTCTTCTCTGGACCAGTTTCTCTTTTCTGCTTAACTTTGTCCAAGGCCCCCAGCACACCAGAGTATGTATTAGTTGCCCCTGTGTGCTAGTTGCTAAGTGGACCTCAGTGAGCACCTAGGTGTAGGCAGTCTCTACAGAGCTTCGAATGGTGGCTGCCTCTTACACATGCCTTTTGGAAGAGTGTGACTAGTGCACCGTGAAACAACTAGGAGTGTGCTATTGGCAGGGAACAGAAACCTATGGTTGAGTTGTGCAACCCAGCATTAGTGGCTGCTGTTAACAGAAGAACATACAACACATAAGAAAAGAGGGACAGGGAGAGAGCAATGAACCTCATCTAGTAATGGGCTGAGGACAGTCGTGAGAAATTTGCCCTGCACGTGTGTGATCTTCATTCGCCTCTCCTTACACGTTTTTCACTTAAAGTTGTGATTTGCTTATGATGGGCTGGGGGTTTTGTCTAATCTCTTTGGTACTCTATTTCAGAGCCACAGTTGTTGAGAAGTATAAAATCTACTGGGTGAAGATTCCTAGTCACGTAATTTCACAACCAAATGCTCCTCCCTTCACGACGCCTAAAGCTACAGCACCACCTTTGACAACCTCACCTTCTGCCTCTCAGTTAACCAAGCCAGTGAGTAACGCTTCTGTACCTTCAGCAAACGCAATTGAGAGTGGCTTTCCTGGCAGCTGGTCCCGTGGTTGGTGTAAGCTGTTCTGTGCTGTGGGAGGGAGTTTTTGGAGTCTCTATAGAAATCTCTATAGGAAGTCTTCTTTGCAACATTATAATTTATAGGTTTGAGTAACAGACATAAAAGAGTCTCCATTCAAAGTATAGTTGCAACACTCACAGGTAGTTTTGCTAACAAGGAGTGTGTGTTCACTTGAAAATGAAGCCAAGAAAACCACCCCTTCCCTGTCCTTTTCTTCCTTTTTTCCCCCCATTTCTCCTTCCTGCTGAATATTAAACATAGGGGGAAATTTCATTTATATTTAGACAAGATTTGGAGGAGAGTCTTGAAGTGGTAGTATGTTATAGACTTTATCTTACTAAGATTAGACTGTTGGGATATGGCAGCACCTGCCCAGACTCCTAGCAGTCAGGAGGCACAATCAGGAGGATCATTGTAAATCTGAGGTCAGGTTGGGTTACAGGGTGAGTTCTAGATCAGTCTGAACTATACAGTAAAACTATTCCAATTCCCTTCCCCTTAGCAAACAAAGAAACAAATAATGTAGGAAGTTCGAAGCTCACCAGAGCTCCTTGAGGTTCTGCTCTCTATGTCTCCCCATTCCTGAACAGTACCAGAAAGTTCAGTGTGCTAAGTCGCAGAAAATAGTCACTCAAAAATTGTGTCAGCTGCAGTTCCATTTAGACTGATTCAAAAGATTATGATAGAAAAAAAGTTGTATAGGGTAATGTTTAGAAACAGGAGGAAGGTTTTCACTGGAGGGAATTTTGATGAATTAGACTACTTATTGCAGAAGTGCAGACATGGAATGAAAAGGTATCAGGGTGTTGCTGTAGTTCAAAGACCATGCTTGTGCCTAAATGTTGACTTGCCTGCCTTCGGTGGGCCTTTGGAGCAAATTATTCCTGTGTCAGCTTCACTTAAGGGTGAGAAACAGTCATGTGCAGCTCTGTGTGGCCTAGAATTGCCATCAAAATAATGAATACCTGCTTTCATCTGTGCCTTGTGCCATACAGATGCGAGGTAAATGCTAGGTCAGGGGTTCTCAACCTTCCTAATGCTGTGATCCTTTAAGACAGTTCCTTATTTTGTGGTGACCCCCAACCATAAAATTGCTTTGGTTACTACCTCATAACTGTAATTTTGCTACTGCTATGAATCGGCATGTAAGTAATCTGCATTTCCCCATGGGCTTTGGGGTCGTGACTCACAGGTTGAAAACACTGTTCTAGGTCCTTTTCTCTTTCCTTTTTATCTATATATATATATCTTCTTTCACTAAATAGGGGACTGGAGAGGTGGCTCAGCACTTGTTTCATTTGTACATGACCCAAGTTTAGTTCCGAATCCCCATCAGGCAGATCACAGCTGCCTGTAACTCCAACTGCAGAGAGTCTGACACCCTCTTCTGGCTTCCTTGGACCCCTAGCCTAGCATGCATTCACACAGATGCATATACACAAATAAAACTAAAAATGACTAAATAAACCATTTTATCTATGTCTTACTTGGCTTCCTTCTCTTCCACAGTTTTAAGCACCTCCATGGATGCTGTATTTGATCACATTATAATGAATGCTGCACTTCTGTTTGATGTACAGTTATTGAAGAGGTTATTATCACTATTAGCTCCCACTTCATTCTTAATACTTATTTAAAAGCTGCTTTAAATGAATGAAATGTTTGCGCATCAGCTTCCTAATACAAAATATTGCCTTTTATGTAGTCAATAAAAGGGGCCTATTCTTTGAAATTTTACCATGCCTCTGTGCCAAGGTGATAATCTTTAATTATATGGAGATTCATTCAGAGTCCTGGCATTTTCAGGGTTAGAAGATGCCTCACAGTCTCGTTCATATTGCTAAAAGTAAGGAGAATCTTAGAGATTAGGTTCTTTGACAGGTAGAATAGACCAAAGTAGAGCTCAGACACCAAGGTTCTAGTGGTTCCTGTCTTCACCCTACTGTGGAACATTTATGTCCCTATTAAGCTTAATGTGGCAGTGGGGGTGGAGCCCTTAAGTGCCATACTGGGAGGCTCTGGGTTCAGTTAGTGTAGAACATTGGCTGTGCCTCCTGACACAATAGCCTTGTTCCTACAGTTATTTGGAATGGTGGTATCTACAAGCACGACATCTTCTCCTGTATCGCTTAACTGCAAATTTTGAATGTGAATTTTAAAAGCTGTTCCCAAGATCCATACAGTAAAGACTTGCCCATATTTGCATCGACTGCTTTTTAAAATACCGTCTCTTGAAAATTCTAGGGTACCTGTTAGGCAAGTTTGCCAGTGTAGACTTATTCCTAAGAAATTTCTAGAAATTTACAGGGAGCCTTGCTCCTCCTGGTCTTGGATGGTGTGAAGTGTCTAATATATTAAGTGAACATAAACGCTCTTTTACTACTACAGGCAGACTAGTAGAGTTTTCCAAATTGTAGTTAAAACTAGCTACTTTTAAAAATCCACAGCTGAGGAACGTGCTGCTCATTTCTAGTTTGTAATGTGTGCTCCCTTTTTTGAAGGTTTTTTTTTTTTTTTTTTTTGGTTGTTGTTGTTGCAGTCCATGCTTGAAGGCAATGGCTGTCTAGTCCTTGGCAGTGAACTGCTTGTTTCATAATTAACACTTTCCCCTCCTTGTCACCTTTCTAGTTCAGTGCTTCCGAGTGTGGGAACAAGAAGTTCTGTGTTAGGAGTCCTTTGAACTGTGACCCAGAGAGTGAGCCTGCCTGTGTCTTCTTGTCCTTCACCAAGGATGACCCGACGGTGATGATTGAGATGAGTGGTCCCAGCGAAGGCTACCTGTCATTTGCATTTTCTCATGACCGGTGGATGGTTTGTATCTATTGATTACGTTTGGGATGATAGCAGGAGATTAACATTGACAGTAGATCAGCTGTGTCTTCCAGATCTAAGGGTAGAATGGGGAAGGAAAACACTTAAGAACAGATCTGAATCTCAGTGGCTGTTTCATGATTTCAACAGTTAGGCAGTAATTTCTAAGAGCAGGTCAGCTGGGAAGACCATTTGCCGTTTCATATCCCTGTCTCATTGTGAAAAAGCAAGAATCACAGGCAAAAGAAACATCTTCGTGGAGTGTCATGTTTGTAATGCCCTTCAGGCTATTGTTCACTCAGGTACCAGAACTAAAGCTGGTGCCCCTGCTGTTGGAGCCGCTGTCTTACAGTCATCAGCAAGTTCCTCACTGATGCACGCAGCGTATGTGCAGGCCAACTACAGTCCAAAAAACAAAACAAAACAAAGCAAAATCAAGCAAAAACAACTCTGACATGGCTGTTAAAGAAGAACCAAGATTTACTCCAAAATGCACTCCACCCAGGTTGTTGACACAGGCCCTTAATCCCAGCATTCAGGAGATAAAGGCAGGAGAATCAGGAGTTCGAGGTCATGGCAGATTTGAGGCCAGCAGCATGGGGCTGTGAAGCCACATCTCAAAACGCGTAGAACAATAGTGCAGAAAAACACATTACATCATACACTTTCAAAAGGAAGGAAATTTCCACCTTTTCTCTCCAGAGTTACTTTTATGGGAAACTTTATACATTTTTATGGAACATAATGCTGTAATTGTGCAAAATATTTCCCCTGCTTTCTCTCTGTAATTACCATCAGACCTGCAGCTTATTCTTCTGGGTGTTCTCAGTCCTAGCAAGATGAATCAAATTTGGTGCCTGAGATGAATAATGAGGTTGAGTTAAGAGTCAAATGTGACTCTAAAGCAATAAGGAAAGGCGGTGGTGACGCTTGTTATGTGAATGGGATGGAATTGGCTATGAAACAAATTCTGATGGGGAGTCCAGATAGGATTAAAAGGCCTTGTTGGATAAACACATAACTTCCTTAAGATGGATCTCTGGAGCACTGCATTCATTTACATATGTCACTTATGTGTTATTCTATATGACATATTACATCATATTTATTTGTCATTGAAAAATAAAAAACAACTTGTTTCTGTAACTGTATAGCTCAAATTCATGCTACAATGAAATAGCACATTTTCTCCTACTGTCCACAGTGAATTGGAAAGAGGGAAAGATTTTGTTGAGTGTGATAGCGGACCTCGTCCCCCAGGTAGGCTAGTTCTTGTAAACTGTAGGCAAGATGGCACAAAAGCATTTATCTCTAATTAGAGATATTTTTATCTCACTTAGAAATCTTACCTATTTCTCTTATAGTGCTCATCAAAAGTGTTTATAAAAAGATTTAATTATGCAGGTGCAGCTGGTTTACAGAGAGATCCTGCTTAATGATTAAAATCAGTTGTACACCTGGTTGCCTAAATTGGTGGAAATGGATCATCTTCAGAATATGCGTTAGAAGTGGTTATTTCTATTTAAGATTGTTATTTTTTAAAATTTAGTGCATTTTTATGATTTTTTTTTGAGACAGGGTCTCACTATGTAGCGTTGGCTAGCCTGGAGCTCTACAGACCAGACTAGTTTCATACTCCCATAGATCTGCCTGTTTTTGCCTCTTGAGTACTGGGATTAAAGGCCTGTGACACCACATTCAGGGTCCTGTTATTTTTGACTACATAATATAAGTTGAGATACTGAAGATGTTAGATATTTTAAATGCTGATTGGCTAACAACCTAAATTCTACCTAAAAAAATTGGCTTATAAATTAAGAGCAATTGCTTTCATCCCTGAAATTGGTGAAAAGTGTAATTTTCCAAATTTTTGCTAATAGCGGCTTGCTTATTTTTGTATTTTGGTCTTCTCTATGATTTTTACTATATGATATTAAATCTAACTAGAAAACACATTACTAGCTTCAGTCCCCGTTTCTGTCTTAAGTAGAAAACAGAGTCCGTTTCTCATAACACAGGTTGCTTCTGTGATCCTCAGCAGTGTGGGGATATCTTATCATACACCAAGCAAACAATTGATTTTGCAGCAGACATTCCACATGGAGATAGTGTCAGATCCCCGGGTTGAGGACTCAGTTCTCAACAGTTTGAACTGTGCTTTTGACTGTAGGGATGACAAACCAGGATTCCTACCACCACCTCCTGGGCTTGGGCTATTCAACAAATCGAGGGGAACGATCTTTTCTGTTTATTATAAGTGAAATTTCAGAGGATACCAAAAGGGAGGTGCACATGGAAAAGAGACAGGACCCTCCATGGCCTCTCAGGGCACACCATCTTTTAAACCCAGGTCCCTCGGAAGAGCAGCCAGTGCTCTTAACTGCTGAGCCATCTTTCCAGCCCCCTTTCAAGAACTTCAAGTTTAGCTATCTGGAAGTTCTCCAAACCCTGTCCTTTTGTAGATACTTCATCACATAGGCATTGTTGATTGAATCTTCGATCATTAATGACCAACTTAACCTTCAGTACTTTCTATTATTCAGTATATTAGCGGTGAGGTTAGTTAGGGTCTTAATCCTTTAGTCATTGGGGTATCAGGGTCTGCCAGTCAGTCAACCCATTAGCACCCCTTCCCCCCCCCAAAAAAAACCCACTGGAAAATCCAGAGGTTTTAGGAGTTCTATACTAGAAGCTGGGGATGGAGACAGAATATGTATCTTGCTGTATTATACTTGCTGCAAACATAATCTTTCATTGACCAAACTCTAGGTCATTCCCAGTTCTGACCTCAACTTGGGCCCTGGATTGTAGATTTCATTGTTGTCTGGTCTCATGCCAATGACTGTTTTTGGATAACATAAACCAACACTGTAACTTAAATTCATGATCATTTTCTCTCTTTGTTTTTCTTATTCTTGGTGGCCAACAACTGTCTTAAGTCACTTGCCATTATTGTTTAATAGCTTTTTGTCAGGTACAGTTTGAGGTACATCATAGGACCTCTTTTTTTTTTTGGCTGTTACCATCTTCCCTGGTTTTTTGGAGAAATTTTGGTTTTGATGGTCACTTGGATTCCTTCCATTCATAATTTCTAGGTCCTTCCTCCTGTCTCACGTATATCCATCTAGGTTGTTTCTCTTTTGCAGCGTTGGGGATCGAACTCATGGCTTCAGTGCGTATTACACTGAATTTCATTCCCAGACTCACTGTGCTTTTTATAAACGTTAATGCAGAAAAGTCAAAAGAACAGTCCAACGAATGCCATTAGTCATTCACCTAGATCTGCCATTTTACCTGTGTTCCTCTGTGTCCAGGTCCATTACTCTGTCTCAGTTGACTTGTGTGGCATGCGTTATTACAGTTTTTCCTCTTAAACTCTTCCAGAGTAAGTAGACATGACAGCACTTCATCCCAAAGATTTTGGCACATCTCTCCTAAGAACAAGAATGTTCTCTTGTAATTACCACAATTTTATCACATTGAGAAAATTTGATAATGATACAACCATTTTGTGCACTACATAGTTTATATTCCATTTTCCCCAGTCATCCCAATAATGTTCCCTTGTAGCTATTTTTTTTAAAGAAAATTCTTCTCCAGCAATGTAGCAATTATCTTTCAGTGCCTTTATGTGTCTTGATCTTTACTTTAGCAGTTATTCTACTTTTTTTAATCTGGATTTTTTTTCTTCTTCTTTTAGGCCAGTAGCTTTGTAGAGTGTTCAGCTATTTTTTTCCTTCAAGACAGGGTTTCTCTGTGTAACAGCCCTACCTAGCTGTCCTGGAATTGCTTTGTAGACCAGGCTGGCCTCAAACTCACAGAGATCTACCTGCTTCTGTTTTCTGAGTGTTGGAATTAAAGGCATGCATCACCACCACCTGGGTTGAGTATTCTGCTATTGACATGGTAGATTCATATTAAGATTTTTGGCACCGGGCTGGAGAGATGATTCAGCCATTAAAGGCTAGGCTCAAAACCAAAAATATAAGGGTTTTGGTACAATGGGCTGGTGATATGGTTTAATGGGTAAAGGTGCTTGTTACCAAGTTTGATGACCTGAATTCAATCCCTGGGACCCACAAAATGGATAGAGACAAATGATTTTCACATGCTGTCCATTGACTTACCCTTGGGTGCTGTGAGTATGTGTGTGCGTCCATGTGAGTGACTGTGTACTCTCTCAAAATACACCAAAGTGAAGTGTAGGATTATTGGCAAAGTACTAATAATGATTCACTAATGATGAATCAGCACATCAAGTAAAGGTGTACATCGTACTGTCTGGTGTCTGCTGGCTGTAGGCACAAAATGCAGGTCTTTATACTTAGTAAACAATACATAGGGCGGTGTTTAACTCTGAGAACTTTCTGCTCTTCAGTAACCCATGACCATATGACTTCAGCGTGGGATGACTCCTCAGTCAGTTGTCACATCTGTCTTTACAGAGTGGTGACTTCTAAGTTACCAGTTGATAGTTTTCTGAAAAGAAGAGCTGTCCTATCACTCACTCTGTAGACCAGGCTGATCTCGAACTCAAAGAGATCTGCCTGCTTCTGCCTCCCGAGTGCTGGGATTAAAGGCAGGCGCCACCACTGCCCGGCGCCCCATTGATTCTTAATTAACTTTTCATACAGGGTTTCACTGTGTAGCCCTGACTGGCCTGGAACTTGATATGTAAGGTAGGCTGGCTTAGATCTCAGAGATCTGCCTCCCCGGGGCTGGGATTAAGGCTGCGCCCCCACTCTCAGCTGTTTATTTATTTTTGAGACCAGGTCTTATGATGTAGTTGTGCCAACAGGCCTCAAGCTCACAGAGATCTATTTCCCTGTGTCTCCTGAGTACTGGGGTTAAAGGTGTGCACCGCCACAAGCAGCTAAAACATTATTTTTTTAGCTCACACATACACAACTGGCTCTCTAGACTTCATAGATCATTTACTGCTGAATCAATTATGTTTTAAAAGTATTAAATGTTGTTTGCTTAGGGGCTCCTTAAAATAATGCACTTGCTTTCCAGGGTGATGATGATGCTTACTTGTGCATTCGAGAAGATCAGACAGTGTATATACGGCCTTCCTATCTGACAGGGCGAAGTTATCCTGTGATGGACTCCACCAGGGTGAGTGTGAACCTGCTGGAGATGCACCAGGTTGGTCCGCCTCCCTGCTCTGTGGCTGCCACTGATGTGGCTGTGTGTGTGGCCAGCTGTGCAGTTAGCCCGGTCCAGTCAAGGGCCAGGCAGCTGCATTCTTCTCAGAGTGATCTCCAAGAAGCTTTCTGTACTTAAAAATCACAGGAAAAAGTTCTCTGCTGGGAAACGATCAACTATTGCTTATGTCACTTAAGTCCTTTTTGTTATGCCTTACAGAAAAGTATTAAAATGGCTTATTGACATGATCAGAGCACTAGCCTCTTCCCAAAAGCTTATAGGGCAGGCTTTTAAGATGAGACTTGGGGAAGGGTGCCCCAGAGCTCTGTCCCCAGCACTGCATAAAACGTTTAGGGCTGGAGAGAGTCATGAGCACTTGTTGCTCTTGTGGAGCACCCCACATGGTGGTTCACAACCTTCTGTAACCCTAGTTCCAGGTGATCCAATGTCCTCTCTGACATCTGTGGGCACCAGGCACACACACACACACACACACACACACACACACACACACACACACACGTACGCACGCACGCACACACACGTATGCATGCACGCACACGCATGTAAAACATCATATACATGTAGGGAAATAAGTAAATCCTAAAGGGCGTAGATAGTTTAAATCACATAGAGGGTTCAAGGCTAGCCTAGATCACACCCTCTCTCAAAAACAGTCAATCAAACAGATACACAGTCAAACTTTGGTTATTTATGGAGGCATTTCTTGGCTAGTGGGAAGGACGAACACATGTAAGCACTGGTACCCACCCAGGTGGTTGCCTTGCTTTCTCCTTGTTGGCACCTGTGCCAAAGCGAAGTTTTACTTTTTTTGTAGGACAGTTGGCAGGCAAATGTGCTATGAAGGCACAGTGGCCCGCCCTTAGTGTCACAGCGAATGAAGTGTGACTGGGCAGTAGCTTCCTTTCACGACAACATCGCCACTGTGCCTAGCTTTCCTGTGAGGTCGGCTTCCTCAGAAGCCTGGAATGCCTGCCTATATCTGCATTACACGCTGACCTCTGGGTGTTCTTAGGCATTTCTGGTGGTGTACTGGTGGCCAACTGGGCTTAGCCCAACAGTTAAACTTTCTAACCTGGGTAGATGAACTGTGAAGGTCTGACTCAGAGTGAAAAATATAAAGACAAACTGGAATAATAATAATAATAGTAAAAAATCTTGGTGTTCTTCAGTGGGGAAAAACAGAGGAAGGACACTGAAGATAAAACAGTCTCCTCCAACCTTAGAGAAAGGAAACAGAGCAGGCCGGGGTTTGAGCATGCCTTATTTTTAATAACTCTTTGGAAAGTATCGAGAAGCTCTTGTGTTTGTAGGGGACTCTTGAGGATATGGCCTGGAGGTTGGTGGATGGCGTCATACAGTGCTCATTCAGAAGAAACATCACCCTTCCTGGGGTTAAGAACAGATTTGTGTTAAACGAAAGCTACTACATCTTTCTAGCAGAAGGTGCTGCACACGACGGTAAGCACTTGGGTTAAATCCATCTTTGCAGGTCGTTTCTCTCTCTTCTTTCTCCTCTTTGCAGGTATCACTACAGTTGCTCATTTTAAGGTATAGAAGGGGTTCTTTTTTGATTTTGAGTTGAGTTTCTGACTTTTGTTTCATATAAAGACTGTCAGCAAGGTTACATGGTAGCATTACTTATGATTTCGAACACCCCAGATTTGTACAGTGGATTTGGATCAGAACTCTAAGTGCCTTGCAAGGAGTAGGTATGTCTTTGGACTTTGCTGCACTTTCCTAGGAACAGTGCCTTTTGGATTATTGTAAGAAATAGCAGCCCCAGTGGGACAATCTGTTCTCCTTAGACATGAGCTTCTCCATAGCTGGAGAAACCCGGCCAACGATTCAAACTAGAAGGAGGCTGTGTCTGGTTGCCTTGTTCAGTCATTTCCTTTCATGCATCTTCCTAAGTAAAATGAATACCGTGGTCCCAGTATTCTGTAGGAATCTGAATGCTTAATTTTAGTTTTCTTTGGTTTGATTGTTTTGCTTTGAGAGAGTCTCACTGGATAGCCCTGGCTGGCCTTCATGAAACTTCCTGTAGATCAGTCTGACCTTGAACTCATAGAGATCCACCCATCTCTGTCTATTGAGGGCTGGGGTTAAAAGCATGCACCATCACATACACTCTCATCTTCATTTTCATAAATAGTATCTTCAGTATCAGCAGCTTTGCCATCTTGTTTATTTCTAATATTGTTTGTGACACTTCTGTGGTCTGAATTACCAAACACCTAAGTGATTCTGTTGACATTTCTTTTCTGATTTTCTAGATTACTGATTTAGCTTGCTTCTCTGTTGCTCTGACCAAAAGCACCTTGGGAAGATGAAAGGTTCTGTTTGACAGGTTACTGTCCATCATCAAGAGGAGCCAAGGTGGGAAGCTTAAGGCAGGAGGAACTGAAGCAAAGACCATGGGGGAACACCACTTCCTCTTTCTTGCTCAGCTACTTATATATCCTAGGACTGCTTTCCTGGGGATGGCACCACCACAGTGGTCTGGGCCCTACCGCATCAACCATTAATCAGGAAAATGACTCATAGATGTGTCCAAAGACCAATCAGATGGTAGTGATTCCTCAGTTGAAATTCCTTCTTCCCAGGTGACTCCAGTTTGTGTCAAACTGATAAAAACTAACCAGTATAGTTACATTTTGTTGTTTTAACTAAATCACAAATTAAGTGATCACTTCAATACTTCCTTTTTACTTTGATTGCATCCAGGTGTTTTGAAGTGTCCTTATTGTTATCATCTCTAAGAAGACTTGTGATTTTAGTTTTTTATTTCCTGATTAAACCAATAGCTTAAAAATGTTTCTGGGGCTGGAGAGATGGCTCACCGACTGAGAGCACTGCTGCTCTTCCAGAGGACCTGGGTTCAATTCCCAGCACCCACATGGCAGCTCACAAATGTCTATAAATAACTTCAGCTCCAGGGGATCTGACACTCTTACACCAATGCACATAAGAAAAGAGAATAAAATATAATAAATTATTTAAAAAATAGTGTTAATAAGCATCTAGCTGGATCATCTTTCCTTTTATTTTTTGTTTTGTTATACAGATAGTATAACCTGTATCCTTCATAAATTATTAAAAATTATTTTAGTTAATTCAGTAATTATTATTGTTAGTGTGTCTGCGTGCGTGCATGCGTGCATTCGTGTTTGTGTGTGTGTGTGTGTTTGTGTGTGTGTGCAGGGATACACAGTCCATGATGTTCTGGTGGAGGTCAGAGGACAGTTTTGCTGAGTCACTTCTCTTCAGGTTACCAGGTTTGCATTGCAAGTTCTTTTACCCACCAAGACAGCTCATAAGCCCCATCCTTTTGCAATGACCGTGATAGAGTCTGTTACCTGATATCTAACATTTGTTTTCAACAAAAGTTCATATATCTACTAAGTTTCTTCACTATTTTTGCACTCGCATAGTTTTCTAAAAATACGTTTGTATGTTCTGTAATTTAGTCTATTCTCATGATGGACATTTAGTTTATGTTTTCTTTTTAAACAATGCTGTGAATATTCCTGTGCATATATTTTTGGTTCAAAATCATTGTGCAGAAGGGGAGGCAGACAGATTGGAAAAGCCAGAGGAGGTGGATGACTTCAAGGAAACAGCATCCTCCACACACAACAGGGCTGATGCACGGATGAACTCACAGAGACTGTGGCAGCACACACAGGACCTGCACATGTTTAAAATCCCAGCAAGGAGAGGGGGAAGTGGCCATGGAGTCCTGTTCCTAACCATGTGCTCTTTGCAGTTGATACCTGCTAGGAAAGAGAAGATAGATTTTCTCCAATGCAGTGTTACTTCGTACGACAACTAGATGCTAGGGTTTAAAAAGTTATTTTACCTGTAGATTAGAGTGAACGTATATATGAACACACTTGGAATAATCTCATACTTTCCTGATTTAGTTGTATGTACAACATATAGTAATAAAAGACACAAATAAGGCTGGGCATGGTGGTGCATGCCTTTAATCACAGCACTAACGAGGCAGTGGCAGGGGCAGGTGGATCTCTATGAGTTCAAGACTAGCCTGGTCTACATAGTGAGACCCTATCTCAAACAAAACAAAATAAAGCAACAACAAAACCCCAAAAGAATGAAAGGAAGGAAAAAACATATTAATAATGTTTTCTCAGTTTTAAAAGAATTGTTTAAAAATTCTTGTTGTTATTTTGTGTCTATGGGTGTTTCTCTTGCACATGTGCCTGGTCGTTAGGGGTTTGCAGAGGGTGTCAGCTTCCCAGGTCCTCTGCAAGCAAGTAAGTGCTCTCTAGCCCTTACCTCAGCTTCTTTCTGTCACTGTTACTCCAGACTCTGATTTGTTACTCAAACCCAGTCCAAACTGATCATCTGGCAAACTCTATATCGTCAAAATGCCTTTCTTAGTTGTCTCCGCATTGTCTTCTCAGGTCTGTTAACATACCCTAGGATTCTAGAATGCAGGCATAGTTAAAGGCTTGTCGCGTTCAAACACATCTGTCAGTGCTGGAGAATTACACGGGGCATTATCAGCAACTTGTCATCAGCCATTATTTTGACATTGTTTAACCTGTTAATCATGCACACTGGTTCTTTTCACTTTGACTCTTCCATTCCCAGTCCTTGTTTTGATACATCTCGTTGTTGGCTAAATTATTTTCAGGAAAGTCATGTGCTCTCAAGTATGTCTTTATGTTGCTTTTACATGCGAATGCCAACTCTTCCTATCTGATTATTCTTCATTACTGTAAGACGTTTTCATTCCATTCTGTGTCCACCTCTCAGGCCGAATTTTTAGGCACCATGAGCAACCTCTGATGACGTATGAAAAATATGATGTGACAGGCACTCCAAAGAACGTAGGAGGATCCCACTCTTCGCCCCTTTTAAAGGCTCATGGTAAGTTAACTGAGCATCATTATGTTTTGTGGGATGTCCTAACCAATGAGCAGGCGTTGGCTGGATCAGAAACAGTGGCCAGAGTCACTTAGCAAATTTTCATGATTCCTTTATCTTTAAACATTGACGTTTTCAGGTAGATTGTCTCTCTGAATGTCAGTTTTTATTAAAAGTGGCAAAGAAATCCAATTCAGTGGTATGAACACTGACACATTCTAAATTCATCCAGGTCGAGTGTTACTGTAGCTAATTTAATGCTTTTGGATCCTTGGTTTTTGTTTCTTATTAAAATAAATGCTAACTAAGAAGCTGTGTGTGGTTTTGGTTACTTGTAACAGTGGCTTGTTTTCACAAATGCAGTTTCACTCTTGTGGTAGTATTTCAGCATAGAAAGTACTCAGGGCAGTGCTTAGGTTTTGAATATTTGGATGAGCAATGTCACCAAAGTGGGAGAGAGGTTGTTTGGACAAAAGGCTGTCATATACTTTGTGTCTACCAATGAAAGTTGATTCTATTTGCAAAGTGCACTGGCTCATGTTGAAAAAATAGGATTCAAAACAAGAAACAGTGCAAACTGTACCATTACAGCACATTAGCCTCTCAGGGGATTTCTTGCTGTATTCCCTTTACATTCTCCAGAGTTCTTCATGGCGGAGGCTTTCCATGGTTGTCACCACAGCTCATCTGGAAAGCCACTTTCCCTTCTCCTGCTGAACTCTGCTCCTGCCGTACCTCCAGCTGGGCAGCAATTAGATCCGGAAGTCACATGTCTTTCTGTCTTTCACTTGTTGTTTGGAGTAATATTGTGGGAGAAGAGAGCTACAGACAGACTTAGAAAGATGGTTAAGAACACAGTTGCTGTTTGAGTGCTCTGTGCCTTTGTTTCCCCACTCAGTCAATTGGGGGCAATATAAATACCTGTAAACAGTGGCAAAGACCAGTTTGACTAAAGCATGTAAAATTCTTGGGGCACCTCATACCTACTAGGGGCTATGGCCTGGCTGGTTGTTAGCAGTGAGTGGTGGTGTAATATGAACTATGATATAGTATGTTTTTTGTGGGGGGAGGAGGGCTATATTTTTGTCACTTTACCATAGTTTTCTGGTTGTTTATGGTTTCTGAGCAATTGGTTTGACCACTGACGCAGCAGCTGACTTGTTCTGTGATATGAATCACTGCATCTTTCCTGTAGGTGCCTTAATGTTTGTGGCATGGATGACCACAGTCAGCATAGGAGTACTGGTTGCCCGGTTCTTCAGATCTGTGTGGTCCAAAGCTTTCTTCCTTGGTGAAGCAGTGTGGTTTCAGGTAGGTGACAGAAAGGGCTTAAAGCCATTTCCATGTTATTCAAGCACTGTGGCATGAAGTTTTCATGCTTTGGATTTTACATTATTCACTGTGTGTGTGTGTGTGTGTGTGTGTGTGTGTGTGTGTGTGTGTGTGTGTGTAAGTCAGAGAACAACTTCTATGAGTCAGTTTTCTTCTACCATGTGCGTTCTGGGATCAGTTAGGTCATCAGGCTTCGCGGCAAGTCCATCCACCTGCTAAACCATCTCCTCCCTGCTCCACATGTGCTTTTCTTCTTCTTTTCTCAACTACAGCTGTTGCAGATCTTAGATCCATTCCCCTTTCCCCAGTTTCCTAAGCAACTGAGCGCCAATGCAAGATTCTTTATACAATGTCTGCCTTTGTAAGCCAGCTCAACTGGAGAACCTGTTAGCGTCAAATGGTCCTTCCTTACCCCTAAATTTGTAGTGGGAGGAGCTAAGAGAGATATACTCACTGCACTAGTTAGTTTGAGTCAGCGAGGGCTGGCAAAGAGCAGAAAGAAGTGGTGGTGCTCACTGCATGTCATCAGGCTTGTGCAGCAAGTGTCGTTACCCACTGAGCCATCTTGTCCATCCTTCTGCTGCGCTTAAACATATGCTATTGATGCATGTATATGCTAGTGACATTCACACATTCACAGAAACTTATGGGGTCACATCTATCATACTATATATCATATAGGGTAACCTTTTCCTGGAATAATTCTGACATAGACTAGTTGTCTAATACATAACAGTGCCCACTTTCATTCTTAATTTCTTCTTGATTTTACACAACGAATTATATGTTCCATGCAGTGTTCATTTATTTTCTCCGATTATACTACAAGCCCTGCAGGATATGATGTTTGTGGTTTCCTTGTCTTCCCTCTGCACATGGCTTAGCACTCTGCAAGGCGACAGAGCCTTTGGAAGGAAATGAAGGTCTTGGCAAGTAAACGTGCTTTGTGTGTGAGATATCCATTCCTGCCGTAGGGAGCAGGCGAAGCCTTGGTGAGCCCTTTTGAATGATGGGATGGCAGCGTGGCGTTCTCTTTAGCTTAATGGTCTATGACATTTTATTTGTGCTGTTTTGATGTAAGGGGAATGTTTGCCTTCAGTGAGTCTCCCATGATTGTCCCGCTGTGCCACCAGATGTCTTTTATGCAGTTAGCCATCTTCTCCCCTTGCCGTCTCCCCTTGCAGGTACATCGGATGCTCATGCTCGCTACGTCTGTGCTCACCTGCATTGCTTTTGTTATGCCTTTTGTGTACAGAGGAGGCTGGAGTCGGGTAAGGATGCCTTCGACAGGATGCTTCCCTATAAATCTGTTTTGATGTCAAAGCAGATTGCTACTTTATTCTCAGAGGTGGATAATGAGACATTTCTGTGTACATCCCTTTTTCCTTTTTTTGAGTTATCTGACGACTTCACCTGGTTGGGGATCAGGAATGAAGGGAGACTGTGAATACAGATTACTTGGCACTGAAATGTATTTTTAAGCTATATCATAGTTCATGCTTTCCTTTAGTGAGTGTGTTTTCCTTCTAGAATGTTGAAAATTAGAAGTATGATACCAAAGATTTATATATATTTATTTATGTATTTATTTTTTTGAGATAGGGTTCCTCTGTTTTTGTGTTTTAATTTGAGATAGGGTTTCCTTGAGGGTCTTAGAACTTGTTCTGTAGATCAGGCTGTCTTTAAACTCAGAGATCATCTACATCTGCCTCCTGAATACTGGAATTAAAGGCATGAGCCACCACAGCCCAGCTGTTTTTGTTATTTTAATGATGTGTATTTGTGTGGATCTGTGCAATTCCACCACCAGCGAGCATAGTGATTGTGTGCTACCCGTTGTGGATGCTGGGAACTAAAGTTGGGTCCTCTGGGAGAGCAGTAAGCACTCTTAACTGCTGAGCCATCTCTCCAGTCCAAGTATGATGTCTAAGAAACAGGATCAATTGAAGTGAATTTCTCTTTGGATTATCTTTTTTTTTTTTTTTGGTTTTTACGAGACAGGGTTTCTCTGTATTGTTTTGGAGGCTGTCGGTCCAGCCCAGCCTCGAACTCACAGCAATCCGCCTGTCTCTGCCTCCCGAGTGTTGGGATTAAAGGCGTGCGCCACCACCGCCCGGCTCTTTGGATTATCTTTAAGCTAATAGAAATTGCATCTATTCTATATGGGCAGTCTTGCTAAGTGCTGTATAAATGCTACCAGTTTATAAAAAATTAATTAAAATATAATAATTACATCACATCTCCCTTTCCTTTCCTTTAACCCTTCCCATGTCTCCTCTCTCCAACTCTTCACATTTCCCCCCTCACTCCTCAAATTGAGGGCTTCTTTTTCTTTGATTATTAGTCTCTCTCTCTCTCTCTCTCTCTCTCTCCCTCTGTCACACACACATACACCGCAAACATAAATATATAAATATAAACTTTTGTGTGTTTACTGTTGCTTGTGTCTATATGACTTCAGGGTTGACTCTCTGTATTGGATAATCAGTTAGGGAGATCATTCCTGGGAGAGGCTAATTCTCTCCTCTCAGCAGTCATGATGCCTGTGGCTCTTTGTCTAGGGGTGGGGTTTTATGCCATTTCCCCCATCTATGTTAGCTTATTAGTGGTACTGTTCAAACCTTAGTTAGGCAAAGGGTAGTTTCTATGTTGTTTCTAGGACACACAGTCTCACAGCAGACTTCCTGGTCCTCTGCCTTTAGTCATTCCATGTCCTCATCTATAATCTGCATGGTTTTAAATTTGATTTAAGTTGTCAGGAAATACCGACTATTAACAATGGCCTTTGTTCAGCGTGCAGGCTACCACCCATACCTTGGTTGCACAGTGATGACTTTAGCTGTCCTTCAGCCTCTGTTGGCAATCTTCAGACCACCTTTACACGACCCAAGGTATGGACAGCTCTCACATATAAACACCCTTAGTGTGTGTGTGTGTGTGTGTGTGTGTGTGTGTGTGTGTGTGTGTATGTGTGTGTGATTAGATGGGCAACTCGTTTCTTTTCCAAATAGGAACACTTTGCATTTTGTAGCACACAATGAGTGATTGTATTTACATTTAAGGACTTTCAAATGGGTTTCAGATACCCAATTCCCCGGCATAGGGAAATTGCATGCTTCTTATTCTCTTGGGGATAAATTGTTATTCCATCACTTTAAAGACTGGTTCTTTATTTTGGTAGGAGGCAAGTGTTTAACTGGACTCACTGGAGTGTGGGGACAGCTACTAGAATAATAGCAGGTAAGCAACTGCAACACCACTTACTCACATATAATTGCTGGTTGTTTACACTGAAAGTTGTAATTTGGCTTAAATGATTTTAGATGCATTAGTAATTGGAGTAATTGGTTGTTGAGGAGAAATCAGCCTGAAACATTGAAATCCAGAAAGTAATTTCTACAAGTAACTATTGAAGTCATTATTTAAACTTGAAGTTTTAAAAAACGACTTTAAAAGTTTGAAACTCAACCCTTTCTTTTCCATTCCCCTTTGCAAACAAATGAGGTTATGTTAATGTCCAAACACTCAAGCAGGGCAAGTGAGGGTCCCAGGGTGAGGTGGATGAACGGTGTTGGTGTAAGCCTTCTGAGTCCAGATCATTTCCCTGTGGTCTGTGCTTGGAGGGGAGGGCAGATGGTCTCTGGAGGGCAGCTGGAATTATCTGACAGTTTTTCTTTTTCAGTACTAGGGATTCAGATGGAAGGCAAGCACACTACCTCTGAGCTACATCCCTAGACCTTTTTATAGTTTTTATTTTGAGAGGAGATCTCACCAGTTTGTGAAGTCTAGTCTTGGCCTTACTTTAGCTCAGGCAGTCCTTGAGTTTGTGATCTCCCTGCCTCAGCCTCTGGAACAACTGGGTATATAAACCTGCACTAGGCGTATCTGATTGATCCCCAGCGAGGCACCTGTCACCTCTATATTCTATTGCTTGTGGGATTAAGTGCGGGATGCATGTAAAGTCAACAATCTTTTCTTCATCTTTCCCCCTTCTCTTCATTGCAGACTTACATTTCTGGAAAGGTTAGGTACCTTTGTTGTTGTTATTGGTGTTGGGTATTGAACCCAGGGCTTTATGCTTAACTGGCTATTGCTCTACCCCTGAGCTACATCCCTAGTTTGTGTGTGCTTTCTTAGCAATTAGATCATATTTTCCTATCTTGTTTTATGTAGTCTTACACTAAGGAAGACCAAATCTCAGCCTCAAAGATTATTCTTTTCATAAATGTTTAATATATTCTAATTAATGCAATGCATCAGTTATTCTTTTTCCTGGGCACATAGTTGAGCACATTTCCCCCTCTTTCCTCCACAGTGGCCGCAATGTTCCTAGGAATGGATTTACCAGGACTGAGTCTCCCCGGTCCACAGAAGACCTATGCGATGATGGGGTTTGTGGTCTGGCACATCGGGACAGAGGTGCTTCTGGAGATACACGCGTATCGGCTCTCTCGAAAAGGTATCTTGCTTGAGAAATCCTACTGTGGGACTGGAGAGATGGTGCAGGGTGCATGCTTAGCAAGCATGTGGATCTGAGTTCAAATCTCCAGCAACCACATGATAAGTGGGGCATGGTCACATGTCTGTAACCCCAATGCTGTGCAGGAATGGAGACAGGAGGATGGCTGGGATTTGTTGGTTGCCAGCCTAGCTCCAAGTTTAGTGAGAGATCTTGCCTGAAGGAAATAAGGCAGAGAAGAGAGTCTGTGTGTATTTACATGCATACCCTACCCCATCCAGGTATTGAAAGTTTGCAGCATTTCATAGCTTGAATGACCAAACCTACATCTTAGAAAACTGGGGAACATTAGGACTCAGGTTTTACCTTATTTTCGTGACAACTAGTTTACTTACATGTCACCACTCTTATAAACTTACGTTGTTCTTGACAGTTGAAATATTGGACGATGATAGAATTCAGATCCTTCAGTCACTAACTGTTGCCGAAGCAGAGGTAAGATTCTCCTTTCTTGCTGACTGACACAAACTTTGATGGCGGTGCTTTCTGTTAAATCTCAGTTTTTATTTCAGGGTCATGTTTTTAAGAAGGCGGTGTTGTCGATTTACATATGTGGAAATGTGATTTTCCTCATGATATTCTTATCTGCAATCAACCAAGTATGAGCAAGCGAAGACTTTTTTTGTGGGCCAGGGTCTTATCGAAACAAGGAGAACTGGAACTTATGCTGACTACCTGGAGTATGTTTCAATTTGAAGACGCTGGGCATGGCTGGAGAGGAATTCTGAAGTCTGGTCTATCCAGATTATGTTTGTAACCTGTACGTTGATGCCAATCAAGCCTTCACGCGCATTAGTCTGCATCTTAAAAGGAACACTGTATTTGAGGTGATGTGACTCTCAACATCCCATGCCAGATTTAAAACAGTAAACTAGAATGATTAGCACATGAAGATAATTATCTCAGGCAAAGGATAAATGGAGATTGTATCTTTGGAGATGAGACGGGTTTTGTGTAGGCTGGCCTCCAACTAACTGTGTAACTAAGGATACCCTGAACCTACCTTTCTGCCTCTGCTTCTGGGTGGTGGGATTACAGGTGCGCACCACTATGCCTGATTTTGAGGGTACTGTAACTTTCATGACAATGCTGCTGTAAGTCTTGAAGAGAAAAACATTTATGTTGACTAGTTTACTTAGAGATCTTAGATTTAAAAAATCTTTTACTACATTTTGTTGTTTTTGTGAACACACACACACACACACACACACACACACACCCCTCAAACAAAGAAAACCTACAAGAACAAAACATATTTTCCAGTCCAGGCTTCGGGACATTTCCTTTGCTGTGTGTGTTCCATCACTTCTGGTTAAAGGTGGAGGTGTGGTTGATTTATCTCGTTGTACATTTCATTAACATTTAATTATACCATGAGTATTGTATTTTCCTTGTTAGCAGTGAAGTGCAAGTAGGCATCTGCTTAGAGATATCTTTCATTTTTTTCATCCATGGAGCTGGAACATTTTGTTTGTTTCAGCTCTAAGATTAGTCGTTATAGGAGAGAGAGATCAAAGTCATGAATTTCACACTTGCTAAAACTCGCCCTTGTGAGCGTGTCCAGCAGGTGTTCTGGTCTCTTGCGAAGATAAAATAACATGGATGGGTTCCCTTGGAACATCCCTGGTGCTAATAATTCAGTATGGGTAGTGCTGTTTTCCTTTCTACTCACCATTTCCATCCCAACGTTTGCTATGAGAGCTTGCAACCAGTGGGTGGCGCTGAAATACCGGGGGACTTGTTTGTTCATTTTTTTTTTTCTCTCTTTTTTTTTTTTTTTAATGGAGCTATTTCCTTACACTCCAAGGCTCTTAACTTTTTTTTTTTCTTTTTGGGTTGGGGTAATCGGTTCTAGAAACTTAAATTAGTGACTGGTGCTATTACATTCTGACTTAATTTTTTGTTTTTTTTAAAAATTATTTATGATTGTTTGATGTTTTCTTTTATATTCCTCAAACCCTGTAGCAAATGAAGATAATTTTCTTAAGCAAAGAAAACAAGTGAAATTGGATGTTTGAAAAAATAAAACAATTGGGAGGGTATATTTTATTTCCTTGGGTATTCTTTTTTTTGTTGTTGTTTTTGTTTTTGTTTTTTTGTTTTTACCAGACAGGATTTCTCTGTATTGTTTTGGAGGCTGTTGGTCCAGCCTGGCCTCGAACTCACAGAGATCCGCCTGCCTCTGACTCCCGAGTGCTGGGATTAAAGGTGTGTGCCACCACCGCCCGGCTCCTTGGGTATTCTTTCCAATTATGATATAATTTCTGCTTGGCCCTAGAACCCTATTTCTGTCTCTGAGTAATGACCTCAGCATCATGTTTTTATTTCTAACCAATAAAGTGAAATGTTTCTTTTTTTTTTCTTCATATAGATCTTAGTTAAAAGAAGTTTAGAGTTCAGGTAGGAATTTCCTGTGTTCATGTTTGGTGGGTTCCATGTTACAGTTTATGCTATCCCTGGAGAATGCTTTTATTTCACAAGAAAAGGGGCTGTAGACGTATCTCAGTTGTGTGATGCTTGAATAGTGTCTATGAGGCCTTGGCTCTGTGCTAGCACTGGAGAAACTAGACATTCTGAGTAAAAATGTAAGGCTATACAAAGACATTTTCTTTCAGTTTTCCATTATAAGCTGCTGAAGGCCAAATCGTCTCTCTTCATAAGTCATGTTCAATAACTGAAAAGAAAAATTCTTTTCAGCAAGAGGTGGAAATTTTTGGGTTCTGTTTTCAGATAAGAGAATTTTCTGGATTTCTAATGCTGAGGCCAATATCTACCACTGCTTTCCTACTTCCACACTGCATATGATTTGAGTCCAGTTTGTGCTGTCTGTATACTCCCGGGTTTGGGGCCACCCACTGGGGAGCAAGGTTGATTTACCACAAGCCACTGACTCACTCCCACCAGAAGCCTGTCCATAGGTCATCAGGGATGGGGCGCATGGACCTCTCCCCACTCCATGCTAGGGTACGGAGTTGGTTTGATGTGCGGATACCATGCAGGCAGGGCGAGTCCATGAGTGGCCGTGAGTCCATGAGTGCAGTGGTCCTGCTAGATCCCGAAGACACTGTTTTCACCCTGTTCCTTCCCCAGGCTCTGGCTCTTACAGTCTTTGTGCCTCTTCCTCTGAGATGGCCCCAAGCCTTGGGAAAGGTGTGATATGGATGGCCCACTTGGGGCTGAGCACTTCATAGACTCCTACTCTCTCATTTTGACCAGCTGTGAGTTTCTGCATAGCATGTTCTTTTTACAGGTTGCTTGCCCTGGTTTGCTCCTCCATCAACTTGTGCAAAGGAAATCAGTGTCACTTCATCCTAGCACGCCTGTTGTTTCCCTTAGGAACACATTACAAGTCTTCCGCTCCCTGTGCCTTTTCTCCACAAACTGCAAATGGTGCTTCAGGTTTCTTCTTGTTTCTGTAATAAACAATATGGGTATTGTTTATTAATATGGGTATTAGAAAATGCATACATATACACATACATACATATATATGTGTGCATATATAGATACAAATATATATATGTATGCATATCTTTTGATGAGAACGATTGTTAATGTAAATGATTTTCTGCATTTAAGCATGTCAAGAACAGCCAGTAAAATCATGTTTTCTTAAAGAAGGGATGTTCTTTAAAATAGGGATCAATATGTTTTTCACAAAATAAAAGTATAGGCTAGGAAATCATGGTTAAGGTAGCATGCAGAAACAGAGCTTGTTTCTGTTAGTTTCTGGTGAGAGGAGATGAAACCAGGACACAGGTGGCCTATAACTTGTTATTGAATATGTGAATCATATTTGTGTTAGCAATTCTCAGCCTTGGAGCTGTAGGTTAGGCGACACCTCACCCTTCCCATATCCGGCTCCCACCTAGGAGGCTGTGGGAAGGATAACACAGCAGATGCCAACCAGGAAGCCGCGGGGGCTGTGTGGCTCTTGGCTGGAAGTCTATTTATCTATGTATTCTAGTGAAGCAAGGGGGGAAGCAAAGAACAAAAGCCCTTGTTCAAGATAATCCATTATTAATGGTACTAGAGAAGTGATTCTCTTGAAAGTTTGTTATAAGCCGGATCAGCCTCCACAGCTCCCATGTCCGCCTTCCTTCCTTGTCTAAACCCTGCCACACTTATTTCTGTGCCCACGGCCTCTGTAGTCACTCACCTGCAGTGCCTTTCTGTCCTAGCCAGAACTGGCAGATTTATGCTTTACTCAAGTTCTTTCCCGTCCCTGGTGCCTCTTTGTCCTGTTCCCAGCACTGTCCCCTCCTTGTCCTGACCATCTTTGTAAGTGAGTGGTGGGATGGGATGCTTCTGTAAGTTAGAAAGGGCCAGGGACTTGGAGGTCTGAGTAGCCACATTTGCTTCTGTGTTCTATGCTCATGGCAACGCCGTTTGTCTTCCGTGAGTCCTCTGTGTCGTCTTCAAAACTCCATCCCACTAAACTTCATGAGGACTGAGCAAAGGGATGCCAGCCAAAGGTGCTTGCTTTGTACTGTTGCTGGCAAGGTCTCTGATTACACTTGATTACAGTGCTAAACTTTAATAGTTTTGTATATGAAATGTGTATTTTTTAATTATAAGAATATATGATGCTCATCTTGAAAACATTGTGCCAGATGAAATAGTCCAGACACAAAGGACAGTTGATTCTGTTGTAGGACCCAGCAAGATTAAATGTGCAGAGAGCCAAGGTATAATGCAAATTAGTGGGTGGAGAGTGGGTAGCTAGGGGATGGGAGTTGTTATTTAAGGAGTGTGAAGTTTGTCTTGGAACAGGTAGTGATGATTGTACAACTTTCTGAATGTATTTAATGCACTGAACTCTGCACTGAAACATGATTGAAATGGAAATAAACCAATGAAAACTGAGAAAAAATGTTCACCGTAGCACTGTTTGTATTGTAGAATATGCAAACAGTGGAAAATTGTTCAGCCATACAAAGGGATAAGTCACTGATACCTGCTATAATGTGAGTGAACCTAGAAGCAACCTAGATGCTCCTCAACTGAAGAATAGATAAAAAAAATGTGGTACATTTACACAATGAGTACTACTCAGCAGGAAAAAAAAACAATAAAATTCGCAGGCAAATGGATGACTCTAGAAGAAAACATCCTGAGTGGGGTAACCCAGTCACAAAAAGACAAGCATGGTATGTACTCACTCATATATGGATTTTAGACATAGAGCAAAGGATTCCCAGCTTACAATCCACACCACCAGAGAAGCTAGGAAACAAGGAGGACCCCAAGAGAGACATACATGGTCCTCCTGAGAAGGGGAAAGGGACAAGATTTCCTGAGCAAATTGGGAGCATGGAGCGGAGGGGAGAGGGAGTTAGGAGAAAGAGAAGGGGAGACGAGGAAGGGAGAGGAGGACATGAGGGAGCAAGAAGGTTGAGTTGGGGGAAGAATAGAGGAGAGCAAGAAAAGGGATTCCATAATAGAGGGAGTCATTATAGGTTTAAAGAGAAATCTGGCACTAGGGAAGTGTCCAGAGATCTACAAGGATACCAACTAACAATCTAAGCAATAGTGGAGAGGCTATTTTAAATGCCCTTTTCCGATAATGAGATTGATGACTACCTTATATGCCATCCTAGAGCCTTCATGCAGTAGCTGATGGAAGCAGAAGCAGATACCTACAGCTAAATACTGAGCTGATTTCCTGGTATTCAGTTTCAGAGAGGGAGGTCAAGACCAGGCTGGAGAAACCCACAGAAGCAGCTGACCTGAACAAGGGGGAGCTCATGGGCCCCGACTGAATGTGGGTGTCATTTAGGAGGCCCGGGCAATCTATGGGGCCTCTAGTAGTGGATAAGTATTTATCTCTAGTATATGAATGGACTTTGGGAGCCCATTCCACATAGAGGAATACTCTCTTAGCCTAGACACATGGTGGAGGGCGTAGGCCCTGCTCCAAGTGATATGCTAGACTTTGAAGATTCCCCAAGGGAGCATCTAGGCCCTGTCCTGGATGAAATGACAGACTATGGACACCCCCATGGAGGGCCCCACCCTCCCTGGGGAAATGAGGAGATATTGGGGGGTTGGTGGGAGGGCACGGGAGGAGGGGAGGGAAATGGAGAGGGACCTGGAATTGACATGTGAAGCAACCTTGTTTCTAATTTAAATTAAAAAATAATATATATATATGTACACACACACACACACACACACACACATATATATATCCCAAGGAAGGCCTCACCCTCCCTGGGGGGCAGAAAGGGAATGGGATAGGAAGTTAGTGAGGGGCAGGGAAGGAGGGGAGGGAGAGGGAACTGGGATTGACATGTGAAATAAACTTGTCTAATTTAAATAAAAAAGGCACCAAGGCAATCTGAAGGAAGATTATGTGACATTTTCAACAAACGTGCTTAGAAAGCCAGGTGTATATGCAGCAGGATGACTTTAGACCTTTGCCTTACACTGGATATAAAAATTCATTCAAATTTGATCATAGACCTTAGATGAAAGCATAAAACTAATTTTCCTGGCTTTGGATTAAACATTAATTTCTTAGATATAACATCAATAGCATAAAAGATGAAAGAAGAAAAACTGAAATAGAAAAGCTTTCTGCTTCAAATCACAATATCAAGACTATAAAGACCAGGTAGGCATGATGGTTCATGCCTGGAATTCCAGTATTTGGGAGGTTAATGTATGAGTGTCACTTTGAGTTCCAGGCCAGCCTAGTTACCTAGTAGGGCCCCGTGTTAGTTAGGGTTATTATTGCTGTGATGAAACACCATGACAAAGAGCAGGGAGGAAGGGGTTTATTTGTCTTACACTTCCACATCATAGTCCATCACTGAAGGAAGTCAAGACTGAACCCCAGCAGGGCTGGAACCTGGAGGCAGAGTTGCTACAGAGGCCAAGGAGGGTGCTGCATGGCTCCACATGGCTTGCTCTTTTTAATAGAACCCAGGACCACCAGTCCAGAGACTGTACCGCC